ATATATATACTCGGTGACGGTCTTAGGTAGTGGTATAAAGATCCATTTCCAATGGATTTATGAAAAGAAGAAATATAAAATAGAAATCGGCTTAATAGTTTTCACGCATGCGCATGTAGTACCTGCGCCGCATGGTGGGTTTCCTATCTTACGTATGTAACATTTCACGTCCTTTACGTGTACCGTCAGCCAGAGACGCACGTATCTTTTTCAGCGTGTACCACGTTTCGTGTCGAAAGACTTAAAAGTATGTATAATAATTTATAGTTAATAATATTACGTGCTTTAACTCTGTTCGTACATTGATAAATTGATTAACGCGATATATTTACGAGTTAACGTGTTATAATGAACGATGATTTTCGATACGATACACAGGTTATTCGCGTCGCGTCTATTCTCACACGTGTGTCTGCCGCGCAATTTGTTGAGATATAATTGTTGTCTGAACAATCGTGAACCTTTCGATACTTACTTGCTCATTATTTATAACTGTATGTAGCTAAAATAGCTTTTCTCTGACGTACTTGGCTTTTGGAAGGCTATATTGTTCGCAAGACAATATCTTTGGTTTCCCAATAATTTCATCGTCGTATTCAGTTTCGAATTAGAGCTTGATCATGTATGTGTATATATGTGCACATGATGATGCTTTTCATTTTATCACCATCATCTTTCAACCAATAAGTGTCCAATTTCCACGTGGTTTTACTGTGGTCTGAAAATCAAATATCATATCGATGAGAACGTAAGGAGGTTAGCCTTACAGAGTCTCGTCGAGAGAGAAGAACGAGTATTGAACTTAGGACAAGTATTCGTTTTCCATTTCAGAATGCGTTACGTGGCCGCTTATCTTCTAGCTGCTCTAGGAGGCAAAGCTTCTCCTAGTCAAAATGACATTGAGAAGATTTTGTCATCCGTCGGTATCGAGGCAGATGCCGAGAAACTGAAGAAAGTAATCGGAGAACTGAATGGAAAGACGATGGATGAACTTATTGCTCAAGGTACTGCGACAACAACTTTTTCGTACAATTCTTTCTGTATTGCAGCAACTATTATGTTGCTGTCGTCATTTGCATACATGATGATTAAACTTTAAACACCATCTTTCGACTGAGGTGTCTGTGCTGTTATATTTTTATCTGAAAGTTACAGTCACAGTCGTGATTGTAACGTAACAATTTTACCGTGTCTTGATCAAGATTTCTTTCCGCGATCGTTCTAGGCCGTGAAAAATTATCATCCATGCCAGTCGGTGGTGGAGCCGTAGCTGCAGCTGCAGACGCGGCACCAGCTGGAGCGGCAGCTCCGGCTGAAGAGAAGAAAGGTAAATTTTATACGCGTATATAGTTTAGAAATGACTACCGCCAACGATTCATTCGCTGTCGCTAATATAATTTTTATTAATTTTTATTAACAGAAGAGAAGAAGCCTGCGAAGGAGGAGTCCGAGTCTGAAGACGATGACATGGGCTTTGGTCTATTTGATTAAAAAATGAATGACAACAATTGACTTGTGTACAATAAACCACAAACACACACACACACACGTTATAATGACTCCAAATTCGAATGAAATTTTTAATGTTATAATACTTGGAGAACAATCTTTCATTTCCCGTATAGTAAGACATACATGTCTGTATCTGAAGACGTAAAATATCATTGTATGTGTGCGGACATTGAAACCGATCTTGACTGCATATGCAATTTAAGAACGTCCTGTTCAAGAGTACCGCTGTGCACTTTTACTACGCGTACGGATTTTCATTCCTTTCAATTACTTATAAAATGAAATGAAAATTGAGTCGAGAGGAAAAGACCGACTTTCTCCTCTGCGAGAGGGAGCGTATGTAGGTAACGTATATCGTATACTACATAGTACGTACCCGTACACATGTCTATGACGGAAACCTGCTGATATAACTAACCAGACCACGTATGCAATTGTGCGCCGTTGCAACTTCATTCATAGCCAAGGAGTGGGGAATCAGAATTGAAGAAAGGAAGGGGAGGAGGAGCGGATAGTGGTATATCGAAAACTTCTTGCCGTCACACGAAAATCGAGAATTCTACACATATAAGTGTGTATGTATGTATGTGTATGTGTATCCTTACGCTGCGAGGAACGCTGGAACGAAAACGCGATCGCGATCGCAATAAATAGTGATCTTTCGCGGTTACGCTGTGCGGTTTCGTGGGTCGTCGTCACTTTTCGAAAAACACGTTGGACGACGTCGTGGAATACGGAGGATCGATCGAAGAAGTTTAGTACTTGAGGAACTATTTTTAGACAGAGGGGCGGTCGTTGGCGGCCATGATGGGTGTCAGCAGCAGCAGCAGGCAGCAGCAGCAGCAGCAGCAGCAGTAGCAGCAGCAAGTAGTGACGGCATTCACTTTGCGTCAGTTGATTTCTGTGCGCCGATGATCGGGTCGAGGTTTTCTGGTTTGATTTGAGCGTACCGTAAAGTCGGGACAGTTGTACATACATAGAGGGACGAGAGACAGTCGCGATCCTGTTTCGCGACCCGAGTATAAAAGCGGCCGGGAAAACCTCGGAAAGTCATTGAAAACATCTGAAAAATGACGCAGTTACTGCCCATAAGGTTTCAAGAACATCTCCAGGTAGGTGGTGACCGGATCCGCTTTCGTTGCCCGGTTGTTCATATCTTCCCGTTTCAACACGTCGTCGTCATTGCTGTCGCCAACAAGCGTCAATCGTTTTACGCGAAAACAGCGTTTTTCTGTTGCTGACGTATGTATATGCGATTTCGCGATCCACGCTCGTTCCCCGCGACACGAATCTTTTCGACTTTCCTATACTATACTGGTCGTCGCCCCGCGTGGAGACGGAAGTTCCGTTAAAATCCTTTCGAATTGACGTTACTTTGACAGCGACTATACGTGCGCTCTCGTACGTTACCACCACGTTTGGTGAATAAATTTCATGCTGATGAATACGTTTGCACGTAAAATACGTACGTACAGAGAGAGAAGTAGGAGAAGGAGGTTAACCGAACCGAGGTTTATCGATGTGTGCGAGACTACGTGTATATGAGTTGGCGAGAAAAATAAATTGATTTTTTTTATCAACGAGGGCCACTCGGCATACACGCCCCTTATTTCCGTCTTTACGTCGATCACGAATCGTTTTCAATTGACGAAAGATTCGTCGCTGCTTATATCTTTTATACGATGTTACAACGATATAAAATTGACGTGTGTATGTGTAGGATTCTCATCGATTCTTTGGTTAATTTACTTGTCCGACATGCGATGACGTGTTCCGATTTTTCGTCGAACTCGGACGTCTGTAATAATAACGATATACGATGACTTATATGTATATATATTTTTTTGTCCTATATTCTTCGTTAATAGATAAATATTAGTTTGAACCGCCGCCACCGTCGCCGAATTGGTCTCCGCTCGTTTTACTGCACGCGGCGTTCTCGCGTGTGAAGTTGTTGATTTTGATTTTTAATATATGTCTAGATTTCTCTAAGATTCTCTTTGTACATCGTTCATACAATAGTTTTCGTTGTTTAATTGTTTGATATCAACGGTTCGATTTCATTCAGTGATGATAATGCATACGTACGTACGCGGTCGAAGGGAACAGAAAATAATTGGTTTAAAAAACATTGTGTTCTGAAATGAAATTTGAATCTGAATGACAGATCTGACGTGAAGAGAATAATCGTTCGTGTTTCGTATATTTGTAGCTCACAGCTGTCGGGATTAACGCCAACAATGTCAGTTTCAATACGCTTACCATGGAATCTGATAAATTTATTTGCGTTCGGGAGAAAGTTGGTGATACCGCACAGGTAGTTATCATTGACATGAACGATTCTGCAAATCCCATCAGAAGACCTATCTCTGCAGATTCTGCGATCATGAATCCAGCCAGCAAAGTAATTGCTTTGAAAGGTAAGAGACAGAGACGAAGAAAAAGCATGGGATGATTGTCCAAGAACGAACCCGTCGAAATACACACACGTTCATTCGTTGTTTCACATTCTTCTTGTTCTTCTGATTCGCAGCGATGAAAACCCTTCAGATTTTCAACATAGAAATGAAGTCGAAAATGAAAGCTCACACAATGACGGAGGACGTGGTGTTCTGGAAATGGATATCTTTGAACACGTTGGCATTGGTAACAGAAACGGCAGTTTATCATTGGTCGATGGAAGGGGAGTCGACGCCGAATAAAATGTTTGAGCGACATCCTTCATTGAACGGCTGTCAAATAATCAACTACCGGACCGATCCGAAACAAACGTGGCTTCTACTGATCGGGATCTCTGCCCAACACTCGAGAGTCGTAGGCGCCATGCAACTGTACTCTGTGGAGAGGAAATGTTCTCAACCGATCGAAGGACATGCTGCCGCTTTTGCCCAATTTAAAATGGAGGGGAACGCGGAACCGAGTAACTTGTTCTGTTTCGCGGTGAGAACGGTTCAGGGTGCGAAGCTTCATATAATCGAGGTGGGCCAACCGCCTGCCGGTAACCACCCGTTTCCAAAGAAAGCAGTGGACGTTTTCTTCCCGCCGGAAGCTGGGAACGATTTCCCGGTCGCGATGCAAGTCAGCTCCAAGTACGACGTTATATATCTGATAACGAAATACGGGTATATACACATGTACGACATCGAATCAGCCACGTGTATATTTATGAATCGCATATCCGGCGAAACTATTTTCGTCACTGCGCCTCACGAGGCGTCCGGCGGCATAATCGGAGTGAATCGGAAAGGTCAGGTACTGTCCGTGTCCGTGGACGAGGAGAACATAATTCCGTATATAAACGGGGTGCTGCAAAATTCTGAGCTCGCGTTGCGAATGGCCGTGCGAAACAACTTGTCGGGAGCTGAAGATCTGTTCGTGCGCAAGTTCAATCTACTGTTCCAAAGCGGTCAGTACGCGGAAGCGGCGAAAGTCGCGGCAAACGCTCCGAAAGGTATTCTTCGAACACCGGCGACCATCCAACGTTTCCAACAGGTACCCACCACGCAGGGACAAACGTCGCCGCTGTTACAATATTTCGGGATCCTTCTCGATCAGGGTCAGTTGAACAAGTACGAATCGTTGGAATTGTGCCGGCCTGTACTCGTGCAAGGTCGTAAACAGCTGCTCGAGAAATGGTTGAAGGAGGATAAACTGGAGTGTAGCGAGGAGTTGGGCGACTTGGTGAAACAAGCCGATCCGACTTTGGCCCTGAGCGTGTATCTACGGGCGAACGTACCGCAGAAAGTTATACAATGCTTCGCGGAGACTGGCCAATTTCAGAAGATCGTGTTATACGCGAAGAAAGTGTCGTACACGCCCGACTATATATTTTTGTTACGGAACGTGATGAGAATCAATCCGGATCAGGGTGTGGCTTTTGCCCAGATGCTCGTTCAAGACGACGAACCGCTGGCCGACATCAATCAGATCGTCGATATATTTATGGAGCAGAACATGGTTCAGCAATGTACAGCATTTTTGTTGGACGCTTTGAAGAACAATCGGCCGAGCGAAGGTCCGTTGCAGACGCGGCTGTTGGAAATGAATCTAATGTCCGCGCCGCAGGTCGCCGATGCGATCTTGGGCAACCAAATGTTTACGCACTACGACAGAGCTCATTGCGCGCAGTTGTGCGAGAAAGCTGGCTTGTTGCAACGCGCTTTAGAGCATTACACCGATCTGTACGACATCAAACGGGCCGTGGTGCACACGCACCTACTGTCTCCCGATTGGCTCGTTGGATTTTTTGGAACGTTATCCGTCGAGGATTCTCTCGAATGTTTGAAGGCAATGTTGACCGCGAATATTAGGCAAAATTTACAAATTTGCATTCAAATCGCAACGAAATATCACGAACAGTTGACCACCAAAGCATTGATAGGTAGGTGGGGTATTTATTATGTATTCTTCTCTTTGCATTAAATAACTACTCACAGAGCTCAGATCGTCATTATCATCAGATCATCGTCAGATCGTAACAGTCATAAATCCGTCGTCGTTTCGCGTTGCCAAGTCACAAAATCGCCATATCGTGTTAATCACACAGCGTGTGTAATAATTACAGATTTGTTCGAGAGCTTTAAATCGTACGAAGGATTGTTCTACTTCTTGGGATCTATAGTTAATTTCAGTCAGGATCAAGAAGTACACTTTAAGTATATTCAAGCAGCTTGTAAGACTGGACAGATCAAGGAGGTCGAACGAATCTGTAGAGAGAGCAATTGTTATAATCCGGAGCGTGTAAAGAATTTTTTGAAGGAAGCAAAACTGTCCGATCAGTTACCGCTGATTATCGTTTGCGACCGATTCGATTTTGTACACGATCTTGTACTCTACCTTTATCGGAACAATTTGCAGAAGTACATAGAAATTTATGTCCAAAAGGTAAGCGTAAGTAAGTGGGGGAGGGGATTATGGAACTTGTTAGAAAATATGATCCTTCAGCGGCACTAAATTTACAATAATAACAATAGCGTTTTTATTAATCGCAGGTAAATCCCTCGCGTTTACCGGTCGTAGTCGGTGGTTTGTTGGACGTGGACTGTTCGGAGGATATAATAAAAAATCTGATCCTCGTGGTACGTGGTCAATTCTCTACCGACGAACTCGTGGAGGAAGTCGAGAAGCGAAATCGTTTGAAGCTTTTGCTTCCGTGGCTGGAGTCTCGTGTTCACGAAGGATGCGTCGAACCTGCTACGCACAATGCGCTGGCAAAAATATACATTGACAGTAACAATAATCCAGAAAGATTCCTCAAGTGAGTAAAGAGAGCGGGTTCGGAGACAGACGGACATGTAGATACGCGGCGGCGAACAATTCTACGATCCTTTTACAGTTGTCTGTTACTAATCAATTTCAATGTTATTGTTGTTGTTGATCAAACAGAGAGAATCAGTTCTACGATAGTAGAGTCGTAGGAAAATATTGTGAGAAACGTGATCCACATTTAGCATGTATCGCCTACGAACGTGGTCAATGCGATCGGGAATTGATAAGTGTATGCAATGAGAACAGCCTTTTCAAAAGCGAAGCTAGATATTTGGTGAGACGCAGAGATCCCGATCTATGGGCCGAAGTTCTTCACGAAAGCAACCCCTACAAGAGGCCGTTGATCGATCAGGTCAGTAGTAGTAGTGGTGATAGTGGTGATAGTAGTAGTACGTCGGAACAGAAGTTAATACACTTCGGGGGGAGTTTCATTAACATTCTCGTACGAATGCGTTAACCATAATTGTACGTGTACTACTACTACTACTACTACTACTATTACTAGTTAATTCGCAAACTTGTTATATTCGGACTCGCTTTTTTTCTCGGTCGTACAACAACAACAGGTCGTACAAACAGCTTTGTCAGAGACACAAGATCCCGAAGATATATCGGTTACCGTCAAAGCGTTCATGACCGCCGATTTGCCGAACGAACTGATCGAGCTTCTCGAGAAAATCGTACTCGATAGCAGCGTATTCAGCGATCACCGCAACTTACAAAACCTCTTGATTCTAACGGCAATAAAAGCTGATCGTACGCGCGTTATGGAATATATAAACCGATTAGACAATTACGACGCACCCGACATTGCTAACATCGCTATTAATAATGAGCTGTACGAGGAAGCTTTCGCCATCTTTAAGAAATTCGATGTCAATACATCGGCTATACAAGTTTTAATCGAGCAAGTTAATAATCTAGACAGAGCATACGAATTTGCTGAACGGTAAGTGCGAGTAGAAATGTGGCATGTCACTCATAATGCATTTTGTGTGTGTGCTGTCACGAATTGCAAACGTAATGCGTAATGCGCTCGTTGGTGGTTACTCGTTTCAGGTGTAACGAGCCACCGGTATGGTCTCAATTAGCCCGGGCGCAATTACAGCAAGGTTTAGTCAAGGAAGCTATAGACAGTTTCATCAAAGCAGACGATCCATCGGCGTACGTAGATGTAGTAGAAACTGCTCATCGAACATCTCATTGGGAGGATTTAGTCCGTTACTTGCAAATGGCACGCAAGAAGGCGCGTGAATCTTTCATCGAAAGCGAGTTAATTTATGCATACGCAAGAACCAACAGACTCGCAGATCTCGAAGAGTTCATTTCGGGTCCTAATCATGCCGACATACAAAAGGTTGTACAATTTTCCACACGCATACACATACGTACAAATATTTGTATGTAGTAATTAGAATAAGCTTACACTATTTGTGTGTACTGATCTCTGAATCGTATCGATCTCGTTCGATCGTATCTCGTTCTCTGTCATAGATCGGCGACAGGTGTTTCGACGACAAAATGTACGAAGCTGCCAAGCTTTTGTATAACAACGTGTCGAATTTCGCACGATTAGCCATTACGCTGGTCCACTTGAAAGAATTCCAAGGTGCCGTTGACAGCGCCCGCAAAGCGAATTCGACCCGTACTTGGAAAGAGGTCTGCTTCGCTTGTGTGGACAGCGGAGAATTTCGACTGGCGCAAATGTGCGGATTGCACATTGTCGTGCACGCCGACGAACTAGAAGATCTGATCAATTATTACCAAGATCGAGGCCACTTTGAGGAGCTTATAAACTTGTTGGAGGCTGCCCTGGGCCTCGAGAGAGCACACATGGGAATGTTCACCGAGTTAGCTATACTTTACAGCAAATATAAGCCACAGCGAATGAGAGAACATCTCGAACTCTTTTGGTCTCGCGTCAATATACCAAAGGTACATCGACACACACGTATATTTATACAGTACTTTCGATAATCGTGTTCGTGCACAACAATAATAACATACACAAAGATAATCATGATCATGATGATAGTAATAATACAAAAAGTAGACTGTGCATACGTGTATGATCAATGACGAAACTGTTCGTTGCAGGTGCTTCGGGCAGCGGAACAAGCACATTTATGGGCAGAGCTTGTATTTTTGTATGATAAATACGAAGAGTACGACAACGCAGTTCTCGCGATGATGCAACACCCGACCGAAGCCTGGCGGGAGGGTCACTTTAAAGATGTGATCACCAAAGTAGCCAATGTCGAACTGTATTACAAGGCTATACAGTTTTACGTCGAGTACAAACCTCTACTGCTTAACGATATATTGCTCGTGCTTGCTCCGCGCATGGACCACACGAGATCGGTCGCGTATTTCAAGAGGACCGGACACTTGCAGCTCGTGAAACCATATCTGAGGTCGGTTCAAGCGCTGAACAACAAAGCTATCAACGAGGCTCTGAACGGTCTGCTCATAGACGAGGAGGATTATCAAGGTCTGAGAACGTCCATCGACGCGTTCGACAATTTTGATAACATTGCGCTGGCGCAACAATTAGAAAAGCACGAATTAATCGAGTTTAGAAGAATCGCAGCGTATTTGTACAAGGGTAACAACAGATGGAAGCAATCGGTAGAATTGTGTAAAAAGGATCGACTGTTCAGGTATGTGTATGCGCGCTAAAATTAGATAATCACCACTTTCACATCATTTATTTACTGACCGTTTCACGACCTTTACACACGCACAGAGATGCTATGGAGTATGCGGCAGAGTCTCACAATCCCGAAGTTGCCCAGGAATTGTTGGAATGGTTCTTGGAAAGGGGATCGAAAGATTGTTTCGCAGCATGCCTGTTTCATTGTTACGATTTGCTGAGTCCGGATGTTATTCTGGAACTAGCGTGGAGAAATCGCATTTTACATTTCGCTATGCCGTACCTTATACAAGTCGCTCGAGAATATATTACGAAAGTAAGTTGGGAGCGTAGGTGCTCTCTTTGACGCTAACACTTTTTATCGATATAGTTCACATGATTCAACGTGTTGTATCGACGCTTGAATTCATTCTCTTTCTTCTTCTTCTTCTCGATACGCTCAGGTCGACAAACTGGAAGAAGCTGAAAGTCGACGTATGGAAGAAACCGATCATCAAGAACATAAGCCTATGATTATGCGTGAGTATCAGCATCATCATCATTTCTTGTGTTAATGCGTAACGAATCGATCGAGTATATCGTCGTGCGTATGTATTTTCTATTCGTAGCGGAGCCTCAGTTAATGTTGACAGCAGGACCAGGTATGATGGCACCTGGTTATGCACCGCAAGGTGTCTACGGTGCGCCTCCACAGGGTGTCTACGCACCGGCGGCAGCGGCAGCGGCGGCGTACCAGGCTTATGGTATGTGAAACACGATGTGTGACACGTTCAACAACAACAGAGATCAACAAAATCTACTTTTCTATAATATCTAGGTAAACGAAAAAAAAACAAGATTATTTCAATAGCTCACAATTATTATTAAATGCTAAAACGATATCTCATTAAAGCGAGAGAGAGAGAGAGAACGAATAGAAAAAAGTGTTGCCGCGGAATAATTGTAACATAAACGGTGAAAGATAATGTGAACGGTTAAAGTGAAGAAGAATATTTAAACGCGAATTTCTAGTTAGTGGGTACAACATTTATAAAATAATTAATTTACTGTTCGCAACCATCAAAGGA